GGGCCGGGGCTCAGTTTACGTTCTGCTACCCACGCCCACTCTTCTGTCAGGATTAAGCCTAGGGGTTGTGGACTTAACTACAGCCCATCTCTAAGGGTTTCCTGGACTGGATCTTTCTAGACTTTATTGGGTACTTGCTTTCTCTTTTCCCTTGTAGTTTTCATCTACAAAAAGTCAAAACCTGATAGAAATAGAAATAAAATCGTCAGACTGGACCATTCCCTTAGCGTTTGAGTGTGCTGGCCAGACTGGCATTCAGTACACGCTGAGATCCAACCATGTCACACTGGCCCCAGGTCACCACCTTGCCACTCAGGGCATAAGCCCTACCCTTGTGATCACAAAGGTGTCCCTAATGTCATCGACGCCCAGGTGAAACCACAGAAGCCCTGGGGGTGGAGGGGGGTTTCTAAATGTGAGCTTTGGCTGGTCCCTGCCCACGCACAGGATGCTGTCCCAATCCCTAGGGCTTCCTGGCAAATTCTCTCCAGCAGGGGAACACTTTGGCCCCCAGACTGGACAGACCCACATCCAACCAGCGGCCCAGGAACTGGTTTTCTTCGGTGCTGGATGGGAACTGGCCTATTCTTTTGAGATAAGAGGGCGATGCAATGCTGGAGGAAGCCATCTATCCTTTTCCTCCTTTGAGATGTTTGCTGTTTGCAAAGGAGCGTTCGCAGTGACGCTGAGACCATGCCAGAGACAACAGACGCCCAAGAGCTACAGTACTCCCCGAAGCCAGCTGGGAATCTTGGGACATGTCCTCAAGTGGCCACGCTGGGGCAGCCCGGGGCAAGGAAAATGGCCATGATGGATCTGAACAGCTGAACAGGAGTGGGCAGGAAGAACAGGTGGACCAAAGACAAGACCCTCGGAGGCCCGAGACGATGCCCTGCCTGCAAAAGAAACAGGTGCCGGAGCTTCGGGAACAGGTGGAAATCAAGAGAGAAATCCATGCGCCTTGCAGAGCACAGCTGTCTGTCTGTTGCGCTCACAAAGAGAGACACACAAAGCCGGCCCACCGGCAGAGGGATGCTCGTTTCAGCCCCATTGGTAGCTTTTTCCGCCCCCTGCAGCCCACGTGCCTCACAGTTCTGCAGGACGTGGTTCTGGGTGATATCAGATGGAGAACACAGGTTAGTGAGGTAGAAGGGACAGTGAGGAGTGTGAAGAGGGAGGACATCCGGGGAGGGACAGGGCCCCCCAGGCAGCACAGGAGCCAAACCTCCAGCCTAAAGTACCGCAGCCAGCAGCCCAGCCCAGCATGCTCATCGCGCGAGCCCCGTGTTGCTCCATTTCTCCCGGTACAGGTTGGGATGAGTAAGATCTATGGACTTTTGTTTTTACTGGCCTGCCAAGATGCGCCTGTCATAGTGCATTTAAGGCAAAGGCTGTCGTTCCTTGGTTCAAAATCCTGTAAGTCACTATCTCTGCTTTTCTTTGTGCGACTCCCAGAAGGACGCGCGTCTGTTCCCCGGCTCTATTTTTCAGTGAGATTTACTTTGCTAAAATCAGAGAAATGAAAAACATTGCATAGAATGTCAACGGAGTTCACTGATCACCCCTGTATCAAAGGACATGCGTGCAGGGGCAAAGCCGTCCGGCCGACCTTAGTTGGGAAGGCACCTGCCCGTGACAGAGCTCACCTGGGGACTCTGGTTCCCCTCTTTTTTAGGGCCTGGCTGTGGCATGATCTTAAAGTAGTCAACCAAGGCCCACAGCGCTCCCTCCGAATTAGAGTACAGCCTGAATAAACTGGCAGTGAGCTGCATGCCTGATGCTGGCCCTGGCCAAGGAGAGAGATGGGGTATGGGAGCTGGCCACCTGGGCTTGGGCAGTGGCCACAAAGGAACATTTAACCCAGAGCTCTGATGCCCTCTGGGCCGGGACCACCAACCAGCAAACCTGAACGTTCCACATCAGACAGGATGGTTGTTCAATGGGAAGAAAACGAAGATGCTGACAGGAAGAAAACTGAGCAGGGAAGCATTTGTACTTTGGAGGTACAAGGGATCTGCCCCAAGGAGGCCATCAGCTGGTATCTTTCACCTCAAATACTTGCATAGACAAAGTAGCATGGTTTGATGGTGGGTGCCTATAAGCCACAATCCTGGCATTTCTGAGTTCTCCCAAGCACGCATCCCTGGGCTGTCTGCCCCAATCCTGCCCCAGGAGACGCTTAGAAGCTGCCTCATGCCAAGATGCCTCCTAAGATCGTCTAGAAGAATCTAGCTGAGCTGAGCTCCATGGCTCTGATAATCCTTTCTAAAGAGATGTCTGGTGGGCAGAAACCACAGAGGTCTTCACGGATACAAATTCAAGAGGAGGCTCCCTGGGGGCTGGGGGGTGGGGGAGGAGGAGAGAAGACTCCTCTAGGGTGGAAGTGAGTTGGGCACAGGTCTAGGACAGAACCCACACACCTGCCATCTTGGGTACCATAAGGGAGCTTGGGCGGGAACCCTGGGTCAAGAGGCTAAACGCAAACACTGATTTTATGCCGAGCCTCCGCTTAGCCAGCTAAGTTAATGGCAAAAGCCTTAAGTTATGAACACTGCCTCCAATTAACAAAAAGAATCCATTTAAAATGGCATAATGGAGCTTGTAATTAAGTGTTAGTGTTTTATATGGAACCGTTTCCCCCAGGGGAGAGGTACAAATCAGCTTTTTAAACTCATAGAGCGTGAAGAGGAAGGGGGTCGGCTGCCTGCCGGGGCCACTGCTTGGAACGCCAGCCTGCTGAAGCAGAGCCACAATGAGGGGACACTGTTCAAGGCACTTGAATACTGCTTAGCAAGATGAGAGATTAACCCTTAGACTCCAACTAAGGGGCCCAACCAGGAGGGAGGCGCTGCTCCCCTGGCCACAGATTGCTGTATTATTTTAGTGGCAGCTCTTAGAAGTATTACAGACAGCGCTAGCTTAACATCAAAGATCGTAAGGTTGGGATCTCCATGTTTGTTTTTAAAAATAAATAATAGAGGAAAAAAATAAAAAAAAAAAAAAAAAAAAAAAAAAAAAAAGACAGAATGGGAACCAACAGTAACCTAGTTAAGAATTAAAAAGAGAAAAATTAAAAAGCGAAGACAACAAATGTGACTAAATTGCTTGGGAGGGCCAAAATGACGGCGTTTTAGACTGCTACTGTTTGGCCACTAGAATGGACAGATCTATACATTTGTCAATTTCCTCAGATTTAACACCTCTGATAAATAACAGTCATGCCTTTAAAACTAAGCCCTAGCCTACTATTTCCTGTTAACTTCTTGCTTTTCATTCTTATGAAAATTAGATGATATTTAGAGATTCATCACCCACGATGACAAAACTCCCTTGAGGTTTCTGTGGAGACACCACAGTGGCCAGGGCTCCACTACTCACTGTCCCGAGGGTCACTGGTGTGAGCTCTCTCCTCTCAATGCACTTGAATTGAGCCAGATGTTGACCCGTGTCCCCTTAGGCTCCTCCAATTTTGAATTCTCTTCTTCCTGAACCAGATTTCAAGTTCAGAAATGATACCCCCATCAAAAGACAAACAAATGGCCTGCCTCCCAGCCCCCTAGAGCCTTCTGAAAACTTCTTATTCATGAAAAGGCATTGTCTTTAGTGTAGTGACTCTCAAAAACTTGTGAAAACGTGAACTAAGTGCTGCAGCTGCAGGTTAAAAAGACTCTAAATGAAATAATCTCTAAAACATCATGCAAGAAACGTGGTTTCACATCTTACAGTCAAAGTCCTACAAGGTAATTAACAAGCACACGGAGGTGGAACAGCCAGAGCATACCTTTAAAATTATAACTCCCTCCCACCCCCCAAATCAAAAAAAAAAAAAAGTAATATTAATTAAACTTAAGAAATAATGAATGCACCATTAAAATGTCATCCAAAGATGTTGACCTAAGACAAAGGTTTCAATGATACACATACGGTCAAAAAGTTTTCAATCAGTAATATACAGTATGACAACTACATCTTGTAAATTATACCCAATACTGCCGGCAGTCTATCCCTCTAAAGAATATTTGCCCCTTTCATCCCTTCCTAACAATCAGATAATAAAATACAGCACCTATAAATAAGCAAAAAAAAAATATATATATATATACCGAAATCATCTATTGTTAGTTTAAAGATATGGCAATAAAGGAGTCTAAATTAGCAAACTTGTAGAAGCCATAACTGATAAAACAGCTTATTGAAAAAGGTGGCAGTAATGCACTCTACGTGTGCACAGGTACTTAAGAAAATACACAGACGTATAAAATTGCACACACGCACACGCACACACACTCTCATCCGCCTCTATTCTCACGCATATACACATAGACAAGGGAGGAGTCAGAGACAAGTTAGACTTTCGATGTGTACTTAGACTGCCCTAAAACTGTGCATAAAAGAACCTTCTAAGAGACGAAATGAATGCAGGGCAAATGGTTGGTCTGGAAGTTGAGCATCCACGTTTTGGTGTGAATTTGGGCCATTTCTACAGGGATGGGAATGGGGAGCCCAGACTGCCACGTTCTCTCTCCCGCAGAGAAAGGAAGTTTCCCACGAGTTCAACAGGGTCATCAGTGCTTGCGGTGGGAAGAAAAAGGGAAAGAGAGACAGTGCGAGTGCAAGCCCTGCCCAGGCCTGGGGAGTGTCTTCCCCCGGGAGGGCTCAGTTCATCAGGTGCCCAGGAGAGTGGTGTGAGGTGAGGTGCCTTTTGTGCCAGAGACAGATCCTCAGACTGCTATCTACGTGGGGACCGGCCTGCCTGTCTGGCCTTGGGACTGCCTGCTGCGCCGGCCTGAACTACCCTCTCCTTCTTTCTTTCAATGTTCGCACACGTGCAGACGCACAGACAGACTGAGACACCATAAATTAAACAAAATTAACAGGTACATGCTACAGTTCTAACTTGTCTCCTAAACCTCCAAGATATGAGGTCTGATCAGCGTGCTCTGCGGTTAGAGGTTAAAAAGCAGATTATAAAATACCTAGATTCGGATCTTTTCTTCTTCTTTTTTTTTCTGTCCTGATTTGGCCTAGAATGGAGTGTATTAAACAAACCCTGGTCTGCAAAACCCAGGGTCAGTTAAAGCTATACATTGATGTGCACTACATGTCAGGATTCTATTCACGTACAAGAAAACACTATGTCAGCTACCACAAAATCAGAGTTTCCTGATGTGACGTCTTCTTTTTGTTAAAAAATATGTGGAGTAAATGTGTTTTATTTTAATTCAAAGTTTCAAACGAGAAGATTTCTTTTCTTGAAAATATTTAGGAATCCAAACTAGTGTGTTTAGAGTCGTTTTGACTGTGCAATCTCTTAGTGGCAACTGAACAGCTACAAAAACTTTCTTTTTTAATTTTTCTGAAAAATCCCTCCCCCCCCCCCTTTTTTTTCCTGGTTTAAGAAGATAATAGTGTATTATCGCTCTGAAGCCATTAGATGGCAGATAAAAAGCCCCCTTTTAATATGTGGGTTTGATTTTTTTTTTTTTTTAAAGCCCACACGGAACAGGAGGACACAAGGCAAAGCTGTAAGAGTTATTCCAGAACCTGTGGAAATCACTTAGGGCAATTAAAAAAACACTTCAGGGTACAAAAAAGCTCGACCACACATTTCTGTTTTCTTCCTTGAAAACACGACATAGATTGGGCTTAATGCTCCTTTGTTTTCTATATGCACCTTGGCCTATGGCGATTTTGCCCTGTGGCCCGCAGGGCGGTAAGTGCGCGACGCGGTCCAGGCCGCGGGCTGGGTCTGGGCCGTGGGGTCGTGGAGGCCGCGGGGTCTGCCCAGGCCTTGGGCTTGGATCTGGGCCTCGGGGTTGGTGCAGGCCGCGGACCGCGGGGTGGGTCTGGGCCGCGCGCGGGCTCAGGTCCGGCCCCGGGGTCGGCGCGGACCGCGGGTCGAGCCCAGGTCACGGTGTCCGCGGCGCGGGCCCCGTCAGGCCCGTCCAGGCCTTCGCGGCCCGGCCCAGCTGCCCGCCCCGGGGCCGCGGCCCCTCAGAACTCCCATTCGATAGGTTCCTCCCGGCTGGCGGCCTTCTCCAGGCGGTGGATGATGCTGTTCAAGTTCGCGGCCTTCTTCTTGCGCAGGGGGTTGTCGCGCGAGTCCCGGGCGCCCGCGGCCTCGGGGAGGCCGAAGAGGCTCTGCAGCGAGCTGGGCCTGCGGGGGGCGCTGCTGCCGCTGCCGCTGCTGCTGCTGCTGCTGCCGGGCGGCGGCGCGGAGCTCGGGGCCGCGGGGCCCTCGCCGGGCGGGGCGGCGGCTGAGGTAGCGGCGTCCTCGGGGGCCGCGGGCGCGGCGGTGGCGGTGGCGGGGCTGGGCAGGGGCCCCGGGCCGTCCGCGGGGCCTCCCTCGTGGTCGTCGTCGCGGGCGTCGTCCGGGCCCGGGGTCCCCGAGGGCGGCGGCTCCGTCTGCTCCGCCGGCCGCGGCGCCTCCTCCCGCTCGGCCTCTCCCTGAGACTTGGGCTCCTCCGCGTCGGCGCTGCCCGGGCCCTCGGCGGCCTCCACGCCGTCGCAGCTGTCGCCCTCCGAGCTGGGCGCCGCCCGGCCGCTGCGGGCCGAGGGGGAGTCGCTGGCGCCCGCCTGGCCCTGGCTTCCGGCCTGAATTTCCTCAATGAACAGTTCTCTGCGGATCCGAGACCTACGAGACACAGGCGGCGGGGCCGTGAAGCGGGGGCGCCGCTGGGGACAGGGCCTCCGGCACCGCTCCGACCAGACCCCCTCTCCCGTGCTCCCGCGCTCCCGCTCCCTCCAGCCTGGGGGCCCCTCCTGCCTCTACAGCGACCCTTGGGCCGCCGGGCCACCACTCTCCGGAGTCACTGCTGCCCCCGGGCTGAGCCTCTGAGTGAGCCATCCCCGGGGTGGGACACCACTCGCCTCTTCTCCCCTGCGACAAAGCGCCACGGGCATTTAAGACAGAATTTCGCTCCCGTTGCCCAGGTGGAGTGCGGTGGCGTGATCTCGGCTCACTGCAACCTCCCTCTCCCAGGTTCAAGCGATTCTCCTGCCTCAGCCTCCTGAGTAGCTGGGATGACAGGCGCGCACCACCGCATTCAGCTAATTTTTGCACTTTGAGTAGAGATGGGGTTTCGCCACGTTGGTCAGGCTGGTCTCAAACTCCTGACCTCAGGTGATCCTCCCTCCTCAGCCTCCTAACGTGCTGGGATTACAGGTGTGAGCCACTGCACCTGGCCACTTATTTTTCAAAAACCTTTTTGAAACAAGGCCTGGCTCTGTCACCCAGGCTGGAGGGCAGTGGTGCCGTCACAGCTCACCGTAGCCTCCAACTACTGGGCTCATGATCCTCCCATCTCAGCCTCCCGAGTAGCTGCTAGGACCAAAAGTGTGTCACTGTGCTTGCTAATGTTTACATTTTGTGTAGAGATTTTTTGCCCAGGCTAGTCTGGAGCTCCTGGGCTCAAACAATCTTCCTGCCTGGGCCTCCTCAAGTGCTGGGATTACAGGCATGAGCCACCACTTCCGGCCAGGGCTCTTACTGAATGACACTTCCTCCATCCCACCCCACCCGCTCCAACTAGACGGAGAAAGGCAAGGTCCCATTTATTCTTTGCACACTCAGGCCTGGCACTGGTGCCTGGCATGCAGCAATGAAGGCTGGCTGAATTCATCAATGAAACTGCTCCCTAACTGCTGGATCCTCATCAGCACTTCAGGAGAGAGAACCAATTATTGGACAAAGTGACAGTTTTAATTTCTGAGCCACAGAACGTCAGGTTGGTTGGGGGCTTGTGGTCCAGGGTAGGGTGGAATTCCACCAAATTCTGTATTTTTTCCTTTTCTCTTTTCTTTATTTTACTTAAAGGCAGTGTCTTGCTCTGTCACTTAGGCTGAAATGCAGTGGTGTTATCATAGCTGTCTGTAGCCTCCACTTCCTGGGTTCAGGTGATCCTCCTGCCTCAGCCTCCTGAGTAGCTAGGACCACAGGTGTGTGCCACCACGCCTGGCTAATTTTTAAAATTTTGTAGAGAGAGGGTCTCATGATTTTGCTCAGGCTGGAGTGCAGGGGCACAATCATAGTTTACTGCAACCTCGACCTCCTGAGCTGAAGCGATCCTCCTGCCTTGGCCTCCCAAAGTATTGCTATTACAGGTATAAGCCACCAAGCCCAGCCAATAAGGCTTTCTGAGGCTGGGTGTGGTGGCTCCCACCTGTAATGCCAGCACTTCGGGAGGCTGAGGAGGGCAGACTGCTTGATACCCGGCATTTGAGACCAGCCTGGCCAACATGGTGAAAGCCTGTTTCTACTAACAGTAACAAAAATTAGCCGGGCATGGTGGCGGGTACCTGGAATCCCAGAAACTCAGGAGGCTGAGGCAGGAGAATCGCTTGAACCTGGGAGGCAGAGGTTACAGTGAACTGAGACTGTGGCACTGTACTCCAGCCTGGGTGACAGAGTGAGACCCCGTCTCAAGGGAAAAAAAAAAAACCAAAAACGTTTTCTGGGTGCCTACTCTGTGCCGGGTCCTGTGCTGGCTGTGGGGTCTCTGCTGGGGAAGATTCCACTGTAGCTTAGCCCAGGGTATTGGACTCTGGTGGCGTGCAAGGGATTGTGAACCTGCTATGTAGTTATTTGGTTCCTGTGTGCAATGAGTGTGGAACCTTGTCCTGAAAGGTTTCTGAGCTCTGGTTCAGAAAGGAAAAGTTCCGAGAAGCCCCTGAGAGGTTCTGAGGTGTCTAAGTCTTTCCCCCTTCCCAGGGGCTACTTTGGGAGCTGGGGAAATGGTGGCTCCTGTGAATAGGTTCCTGGGTGCTGTGCGTTCAAGCTCCTTGGCAGAGAGACTGCTAGTTGGGGCGAAACCTTCTATCCCATGCACTTTGGTGGGGGAGGTGGGAAGCTAGACGGGTAGCTAAGGTTTGGTTCCAGCCAGACCCAAAACAAGAGTATAGGCTTTTTGGAAGCAGGCACACCTGGGTTGGCTACCTGGCTTTCCTGCTTACTAACTGTGCACCTTGGACATTCTGTGAGAAACAAGAAAACTTCGGTTTTCTGTCTTTTTTTTTTTTTTTTTT